TGGGTTTGGTTTTGGTTTGTGCAGTCTGCTATCAATGCCAATTAGCTGCATCAAGTACTTACAGAGCAGCAACGTTTGACTTTGTGAGGCCTGCCTCCTGTCGGCCTCTTCTTCTTCATCCCTCCCACTGGCTCCCACGCCCAGAGACCTTACCAAATTCTACCCTGCCTTCTTCTAATAGCCACCAGGAAATGGTCTGAAAGCCATTCACGGAAAGACTGAGATGACCCATAATAATTAGTATATTTGAGTATTAAATACAGAAATACATTGACCTTCGTCACGTCTCTAGACTTCACCCTTTGGCTGGGCCTCTGGTGAGCACCAGGACAAACAGTGCTCAGCAGCACTATAAGGTCGGTGCTGCCATTACCCCATTTTACAGCTGGGAAAGCTGAGGCAGAGTCAGCTTTCCCCTCAGGACTTCTGCTCCCCTCCTCTCTACATCCATTTAGCTTCCCGTGTCTTCGCTGTGGAGGGCTAGCTGGACTCAAGCCTGTTCTCTTCAGGCCCATTCTCCCCATCCCAGGAAGAGAGGCCCTGAGAACTTGTTTCCAACAAGACAGAGCAGTTGTGAGAGACCAGCTGGGCTTAGTGCCTGAAGAAACGTTAGCACATTCGATTACAGACTTTCCCCTTGAATCTCTGAAGCCTGGGCGAGGCTGGTTGAGCTGGAGGACATCTATATGTTTGCAAATCGATTTCACTTTACATAATGATGTATATTGAGGCTTTCCAAGTGCCAGCATTTTACAACTTTACAACCATCATCAGAATGAGTTCCCATTTTACAGATGAGAAAACGGAGGCACAAAGAGGTTGAGTAACTTGCCCAAGAGTAAGTGGCAGAGCCAGACTTTGAATGCAGGTGTTAGGATCCAGAGTCAGCACTCTTGAATTCTATGTTCTATTGCTTGATGAGATCATTAAAAATTACAGTGTGGCCAGGGGTCAGCAAACATTTACTGTAAAGGCCCTGATAGTAAATATTTTAGACTCTGCGGGCCAGATGGTCTTTGTGGGTCAGATGGTCCCTGTTTCAATTATTCAACTCTGCCATTTTAGAGAGAATACGTAAAAAATGAGCGTGGCTGTGCTCCAATAAAACTTTGCCTACAAAAACTGGTGTGGTCTAGATTTAGCTCTTGGGCTGTAGTTTGCAGACTCCCAGTCAGTTCTGAACAAAATACTGTTTGGTTGCTCACCAGAACAATTATTGGCCCCTTAACTGACAGTTATTAAGCACCAGCTGTATTTCAGGCACAGGGACAGGCCCAGCCACAGTCCTTGGAGGGAGATCCCAACTAACAATCACATACAATGCAGCAACCAGCCTGCAGCCACAGATGCAGCCCGGAGGGTGGTGGCCCTCACTGTGTTTACCCTCGTGTCCTACGTTCTTTCTAGTTTAAGTGGGAGCCAAATTTTGTGTCCAAGTTTCATTTGCTTCTCATTCTTCTCCCCACTGGAGACAATTGGATGACCAGTGGTTTCGTGTGCAGTGTTGAGGGGTCAGTGGTAGAGTTCTTGACCTCCATGCGGGAGACCTGGGTTTGATTACTTGCCAATGTAGCTCATGTGCAGCCACCACCATCATCAGAGGAGGCTTATGTGTCACTACGATGCTGAACAGGTTTCAGCGGAACTTCCAGACTAAGATGAACTAGGAAGAAAGGCCTGGCTATCTACTTCCAAATGGATCACAGGATCACAGGATCAAGGTTTGATCTGCAGCCAATCACGGGAATGGCGAAGGACTGGGCAGTTTTGTTCTGTTGCGCATGAGGTCACCATGGGTCGGGAGTTGACTCAGTGCAGCTAACACACACACACACACACACACACACACACACACACACACACAGTGTCGTGTACCTAAGAATCGCCTGATGGACTTGATAAAAATGTAGAGTCCTGGGTCCTACCTGGCTCTGATCAAGCTGACCTGGGCAGGACCTTGGAACCTGAGTTTTATGGAGCATCCCTGGTTGTCCCCGCGGGTGGTCCCTGGGGCTCTCTTTGGGCAATAACCTTGAAAGGCCCCCGGCAGGAATAAAACACCTAATTCAATAGAGTTTGGGAAACTGCATCCTCAAAAATCCATCAAAGAGCTTTTGTTTTTAAAATACAACCTTCATATAAGAAAGTTCATTTCAGTGATGCTGCTAATTATGAAAGAAAGAAACACCTTGGATGATTTGTACCAGCATCTCAATGAAATGAATTATAGGCACTTCAGTGGAACGCCAGGCAACCACAAAAAATATATTGAGGATGTTTAGCCGTTTATTAAGTGGGGACAGCGGGTGGCAAACAATAGGTAAAGTGTGAACCATCATTTTATGTTACAAATACATATATAGATAAAAGTCTGGAAGGATTGTCAGCAAAATGAGTGGAGATGTTTCTAATTTATCTGAAATGAAAATGAAATACTTGTTTATAAAGAAGAAAAAAAGTTAAAAGGAGCCTTCAGTAAATAGCACACATCAGCGTGTACGTATGTGTGTGTGCGTGTGCATACGTGTGTGTGCGTGTACATACTGTGTACATCTATACTGTTGTCATCAACAAAGATGGAGCAACAGCCGACCAACAGCAGAGCACATGCAGACGTGAGGAAACGTGAGGTGAGGCGTGGGCTCACTCCTTCACGACAGCACGAGGTAACCCCGGCTCTCTCAGTCCCAGTGTTCGAGGTCCATCTCTCAGTCTCCTCAGAGGCGCTCCGTCAGTTCCTCTCAGTCTCTCTCATGTTTTCTAGTTTCTCCTTCTCTTAGTCTCTCTCTCGCTCTCCGCCTCTCTCTCCCTCAGTCTCTCTCTGCCTCTATCGATCCTCCGTTTCAATCTCTCTCCCTTATCCCCACCCCAAGGACCGCAGAAGAATTTATGGGATTTGGTGTGAGCACACCGCCAAGTAGCAGCAACTTTATTTCCACACGAAGCGGGTCCATAGAGCTGAAGTTGAGGCGCTAGGGAAAACGGGCGGATAGGAAACGGCCCGGGCTTGGTTTCGAGTCCATGAGCCTGTTCAGCCACTCGATGTACCGGGAGACCCTGGTGTACACCCCAACGTGGCCTATGGCTGCACAGCCCTGGCCCCAGCTGACAATTCCTGTCAGGTACCGCGTGTTTCGGTACTTGGTGACGTGCGGGCCTCCGCTGTCACCCTTGCAGGCGTCTTTGGTCCCATCCAGGTAGCCGGCGCAGAACATGTTCTCTGTCAGCACTGGGGAGTGGGCTGTCCTTTGTGTCTGCTCCTTACAGTCCTGGGTCATCAGCCTGGGCACATCTACGGTCATGAGCTCAAGGGCCGTGGCGCCCCTGTCGAGAAGCTGGCCCCAGCCGCTCACGGAGGAGAAGCGGATGTAGGCCAGAGTCTGCTCCGAGAATTTCTTGTCGGGCAAACAGAGGGGCACTACATAGTCGGTGAAGTTCGCCGGCATCCTCAGGCGCAGCAGCGCGATGTCGTGGTCGGTCTTGCCGGGAACGTACTTGTCAGGAACGGTGATCTGAGCAATTTGCCGTTCTTGCTCATCACCATCCTCTTCACGGAAGTCATGCTCACCTGAAAGGAAACAGACGGCTCATCGCGCGCTACCTGCCGGCGAGTCGTCTCCATCCGAACGCTCGCATTGCTGCTGTGTCCTTGGCCTCTCACTTTGCCCCTCTGGATTGAGACTGCTCTGAAAGGGGAAAATGCTCCGCTTTCAGAATCTGGACTGTGTTGGAGGCCTCCTTTAGGAATAGGTAGGCGAGCCCTGCACCCAGCTGTAAGGGAAAGTTCAAGCAGAGTCTTTCCCCAGATGGTAGATTAGAGTCTAAGTCAGGGCCATGTGGGAAGAATGTGAATTGAGGGGTACAGCTGGAGCATGAAGTGCTGAAGGCAGGTGAGGAAGAGGTATTAGGCTTTGGACGGCTGTGGATAGCAGGAGGAGAGAGCGGTGCTCAAAGTCCTCCACAGTTCTTCCCAGACAGGGCCTGACCCACCTCGGTTGCCCTCATCTTGTCTTGGGTCCTCTTCTTGCCCATAAACCCATCAGGCAAAGGCCTTGCTCCACAGATAGGCTCCCGTAGGGGGGCTGCATCCTCACTGGGATCAGCTCTCGGCACAAGTGACACGGGGTGGGTAGAATAGCATCTCTCGCCCTATGTCCTTTTTACATTTTGTTCTGGAGTAGGAAAGAGGCTGAGGGGGTTGGTGGCCACAGTGGTGGGAATCCTGTGAGCAGAGAAGTTTGCCCAGAGGGCGAACACTTCTTCTTTTGGGGAAGTTAATCTGGTTATGAAGTGAGGAGTTCAAGGTCCAGAATCTTAACCCCAGTTATCATTCAAGAACTGCTTTTGAGTCAGAAGGCAATAAGGACGATACTTACCCAACACCACTGTCACATCCTCCCAGGGCTTTAGTCTGATCAATCTGTCAAAACAGTGGGCCGCAGAGACCACCCAGGAGGCATCAAGCAGGGCTCCCCCACACAGCAGTATCCCACGCACCTTTATCACAGCCTGAGCCAGGACAAAGCATATATTCAAAGGTCAGATTATTTTTATAGTTTCCTTGATTTCTCACCTTCCCATACACCCTTTGGGACTGGCTAACATTTAAGATTCATTTCTGAAAGCCTGACATCTTCAGAGATCCCTTCCTGGGCAAAGTTGTGGACCTCGGCTTCACTTTGCATGAGCAGGCAATTCCCCTCTTATCTAGCTGAGACAGTCTCAGCGGACTGAAAATGCAAGTATAGTGGGCTGACAATAGAACTAAAAAGCAGTTGCCGTAGAGTTGATTCCAACTCATGGTGACCCCATGTGTGTCAGAGCAGAACTGTGCTCCACAGGGTTTTCAATGGCTGGTTTTTTCAGAAGTAGATCTTCAGGCCTTTCTTCCAAGGTGCCTCTGGTTGGACTTGAACTGCCAACCTTTTGGTTAGCAGCTGAGCTCGTAACCACTGTGCCACCAGGGTTTCTGAGGTGCCAGTAGGTGGGTTCGAACCATCAACCTTTAGATTAGCAGCTGCATGCAAACCGTTCTCACCGCCCAGGGACCTGGTGGGCCCAAGTGGCATTGATGAAAGCCCTCCCCTCTGGCTTCCATGGCTGCCTGAGGAGTGAGGGGCTTAGTGGGCGCAGCTGTGTGGAAAACAGGTAGGGTGAGGGCAGGGCGGGGCCTGATGCCACCAGCCCAGCAGTTGGTCTAGAAGAGACCAAGATGGTTGCCCATATGACTTTGCTGAGGAGACTTGAGAGAAACAAAGCTGCTTGTGGTCCTGGTTTACCTGACCTCAGGTGTCATGTCAAGGACAGACACACGATTCTAAACTTTTTCTTACAAAGTTATTATACATTTACTCTTAAAAATTCTTAAATTTTTAAACTTCGGGTGTCACAGAAATGAAATGAGTAATGATAAGCTGCTATCAAGTCGGCCCTGACTTATGGTGACCCCTACCCCCCCGGCCACGGGATGAAACGTGAGCATTAGCTGACTGTTGGAAGCAGATCATCAGGCCTTTCTTCCTAGTCCCTCTTAGTAGAAAAGCCCCTCTGAAACCGGTTCAGCATCATCAGCAACATGGAAGCCTCCACTGCCAGACAGGTGGTGGCTGTGCCTGAGGAGCATTGTTCAGGAGTTGAACCTGGGTCTCCCGCATGGAAGACGAAAACGCTACCACTGAACCTCCACTGCCTCCCCAGAAAGGGCTCCTGATTTAGAGTTCAGACCAGTACGTCTCAAACAATGTGCATCCCGGTCACCTGGGGCTCTCGTCAAAGGCAGGTTCCGATTCAATGGGGCCTGAGACTCTGCATGTTTAGAAGGTTGGCAGGGATGCTGCAGCTTCTGTTCCGTGGACCACACTCTGTAGGCTTAGGCTACGGCCCCTTGCGGACTGGACTCAAAGGCGGACTCAGAGAGGCACCCCGAGGGAGCTATTATTCCACAGACTCAACCCCACGAGGGTGGAAAGCTTTGGCTGCCTGAAAGGAGGAAAAACTAATTTCCTTTACAGCTGGTCAATTTTTGTTGTGGCGCTCCAAACCTCAGCTTTCAGAGACAGTTAGCAGAATGGGAAGGCCACGAGTTTGGAGTCAGATAGTCCTGGATTCAGATTCTACCTCTGTCATCTATCAGTTGTGCACCCTCAGTTTTCTCATCTGTAAAATGGGGATAAGAATAGTATCTGGTGGTGAGGTGGTATAAGGGTTAAGCGAGATACTATAGAGACCGGGACGTTGAAACCATTAGATAAATGGTAGCTGTGTTTAGCACATCTTTGTAAAATTCAAAATAAAACCCACTGCCATAGAGTCAATTCCAACTTACAGTGACCTTAGGTGATGGAATTTAAAATACATAATCCATTTAAGCACTTTGCATGTGAGCAGGGATGTCCTGTGCCCTGGTGTGTTCTGTGGCTGGTCTGCCTTTTTTCTCTTTGAGGGCTGTTGATTAGCTCTCATTCAAAAGTCTTCAAACACTCCAGGGCCTGGAAATCCTGCAGCCAGGGGAGAATCAGGGAGGGAAGACACGGTTCTGAGTGGCCCCGTCAGGCCAGGGAGACTTACCTGCCATGGACACTCCCCTTTGGGACACAACCTGCCGCCCACAATTCGGCCTTGGGGGCTGCTGCCATCTCTTTTTTCTAGAACAGGTATTTTTCCACACGGATATTCAACTGTATAAAACAAAAGTCAGCAAGACGGGGATTTATGAAGGATGAATGTGCTTGTGAGTAAAAGGGTTAAAAGCATTTGCAGTCTGAGATCTTGAGGCTGTGGCTGCTGGCCTCCTCTGCTAGCACTGAGCAGGTCCGAAGGACCTGCGGGGAGGCCTTCCGGGCTCAGAGTTGGGGAGGGCCGGCTTCCATCTGCCTGAGCCCCAAGCAGATGCCGTGGTCAGGGGATCTGCTGGGCCTGGCTGATGGAGCCTGAAGCTGGAGGAGAGGCCTTGAGCTGCTAGGTGGAGAGATGGGGCAGAGGACGGCTTGGGAGGGAACAGTCCTACTTCTTGAAACTAACACCTGCTGCTCTCTGACTCACAGCGACCCTGTAGGACAGAGTAGGGCTGCCCTCTAGGGTTTCTGTAATCTTTACGGAGCCCTGGTGGCTCAGTGGGGAGCCCTGGTGGTGCAGTGGTTAAGCGTTTGCCCGGTAATGAAAAGGTCAGCAGTTCAAATCCACCAGCCGCTCCTTGGAAACCCTGTGGGGCAGTTCTACTCTGTCCTATAGGGTCACCATGAGTCATAATCAACTTGACGGCAATGGGTAATCTTTACAGAAGCAGACAGCCACATCTTTCTCCTGCGGAGCGGCTGGTGGGTTCGAACTGCCTACCTTTTGGTTAGCAGGCTAGTACTTAACCACTGCACCATTGGGGCTCCTTTTCTTGAAAGTAGGTTCTGCTGAATTTTCAAGGGAGAAAATGTGTTGCTTGAATTTACTAAGGGGTGAATAATATTCTATCTAAGGATTAACCAATATTGAGAACAATTGTAGTTCTATTTTTTTTATTGTGCTAAGTACTTTTTAAAGTATTTTATTGTGTGTATATATACATATATCTCAACACATTTGCCATTTGAACCATTTTTAAGTGTACAGTTTGGTGACATTAATTACATTTATCATGTTGTACAACCCTCTCTGCTATCTAGCTCCAAAAAGTTTTCATCACCCCAAACGGAAACTCAGGACCTCTTAAGCAATAAGTCACCATCCCTCCCTCCCCACAACCCCAGCCCCTGGTAACCACTAACAAACTTTGTTCTCTATGCATTTGCCTAGTCCAGATATTTCAAATAAGTGAGGTCATACGATACTTGTGTCTGATTCACTTTCCTTAGCATAATGTAGTGCTATTTTGACCCCACTCATTTTTTTTCAGTCTGCTCCAACGAAGTCCTTGGAGCCCCGGTGGCACGGTGGTTAAGAGCTCGGCTGCTAACCAAAAGGTCAGCAGTTCGAATCCACCAGCTGCTCCTTGGAAACCCTGTGGGGCAGTTCTACTCTGTCCTATAGGGTCGCTATGAGTCAGAATTGACTTGATGGCAACAGGTTTAATAAAGTCCTTGGGCCAGGAAAAAAAAAAAGTTTAGAGGTGGCAGGCTAAACTTCAGGCTTTCTCTGCCAGGCGGGGTACATCCACCTGTGAAGAGACACAACGGTGTGGAGTACCTCAGCCTTTGAACTGTAGCCCTGGTTAGTCTGAGGTGGGTTTGGAGAAATCATCGCTTTTCTAAAGATGCCTTTAAAAAAGTTTGGTGTCTCAAATTGTGCAGCAGGAGTCACAGACCTGGGTGTGGATTTACTAGATTCAGGAAACCCTAGTAGAGGTCCTGAGAGCCTCTGGGGTTCCAGGATATGGAATTAGAACGAGGCAGACAGAGTCTGTCCTAGAAGCGGGTGGGTGCCTTGAGAACCACCCAGGCAGCTACCTCCCGTGGGGCTGGGGCGGGTTGACCTTCTGTCCTGGTTCTTGTGAGCTGTATGTTGCATCCCCTGATCACTGTGGCTCTGGCCCACTCTTGGGTGGGGACAGCCATCTGACCCTTGGTCTTCCTCTTTGCCTCACTATGTCATCAGCGCCTAGTAGACCTCAGTAAAGGTTGTGCCCCCCCCCATCCTTCAGCCACCTGAGCTAACGTGCAGCGGGACAAGGATTGGTGACTGGCTTATCCGGCAGAGAACAGTGAACGCAAATAAGGCAACACTGCGCCCTGGACAGCCAGCGGTCCCTGAGGGGCTGTTACCTGTGGGTGCACAGGACACCCCGTCGGCCATGAGCGCGTAGCCATCGTGACATCGGCAGGAGCGCTGGGTCTCTGGGTTGTCACTGCAGTACTGTTCACAGCCCCCGTTTTCATTCAGACAGATCAGCTGGCTGTTTTTGTCTGAGAATAGGAAGGGATAGCTTGAGAGGGGGCCACCTCTGGGGTCAGGGAAAGCCAGCAGGGTACCCCTCTCTCCCTGGGGACAAGCAGCAGATTTCTTCCAGCAAGGTGGCACGCGGCTGTGACCAGCAGAGACTGGGTGTGTCACAGCCTCGGCTCTGAGGGTCCATCTGGGCGGTATGACCTGGAGGTAGGGAAAGCCGCTTTGTCTAAGCAGCCTCGCCAGCAGGGCTGGCTGTGATGGCGTTTTCGGAACAAAGGGATGAGCATGAGGCAGCACCCAGGGATTACCACACTTCCCAGAAGCTGATGGAGAGCTGGGGAGCGCCCTGTGGGAAAAGTAGCTTGTACAGTGAAAGTATCCAACTTAGGCAGTGACCTGGCCAGGCAAGAGGTCCAGGGGGTTGAGACTTCTTCAGCCAGACCTCTGTACCCCAGTGAGCTGACCCAGGGACACTTAGTCCCAGCACTGGCCGTTGGTTCAGACAGAAAATGAGGAGAGTTCAACGTGGCTTTGAAGGAGAAAGCCTTGGTTGTGGAAACTGTAGTTGGTTCAGAGTATAAATTCAGGATTCCCGGCAGTGAAGGCTGTTTTGGAAGATTTACAACCATGGTGGGTTAGCATCAAACCAGAGAAACCAATTGCCATCGAGTTGACTCCAACTCATGGTGACCCCATCTGTGTCAAAGTAGAACTGTGCTCCACAGGTTTTCCAATGGCTGATTTTTTGGAAGTAGATCACCAGGTCTTTCTTCTGAGGTGCCCCTGGGTGGGCTTGAACCATCAACCTTTCGGTTAGCAACCGAGCACATTAACTGTTTGCTCCACCCAGGGATCCTGTTTAGTATCAAAGTTTGGGAAGAAAGACTGAAGCTTTCTAGCCCCAGATAATCTACTAAATGAGACCAAATCTGTTACCCTTGCGTTGATTCTGACTCATGGAGACTCCACGTATTACAGAGTAAAACTGCTCCATAGGGTTTTCTTGGCTGTAGTCTTTCCAGAAGCAGATCACGAGAACTTTTTTCCACAGTGCTGTTGAGGGGTGGGGCTCAACTGCCAGCCTTCAGGTTAGCAGTTGAGCGCAAATCATTTGCACCACCCAGGGACCTTAGATAGTTGACAGGATACGTGTCTCGTTAGCTTTTTCTTAACCATTTCTGGGCTGTGGCCATTGAAAATGGTGCCAGGGCCATCCTTGTCTTCCATGTTGACTGTTCACATTTGCTTGATCCAATGGTCCCAGACTGTCCTACCATGGACCAACCATCCTTCAGAGCGCGTTCCGGCCACCAGAGACACCAGGTGAGAGGCTACTCAAGCCCGCTGGGTGGTTCACTGAGACTGGACTTGACAGTGAAGACCCACACGGCCCAGTGTTACTAGCAGTGGTTGTGTGATGGCAGGAAAATGACCACGCACTGATGAATACAGGGAAGGGAAGGGAGAGAGGCAGAACTGAAATTTTCTTTAATGGCCCGTCATACATAAAAAATGACGGAAGCTGATACTCTAAAATACTAATAGTGGCTAATTGCCGTTCTTGTCTGTTTTACAATTCAGTTATCATGTAAAATTTTAAAATGATAAACTCCTAATATAAACATACTTTTCTGACTATTGACAAAAATTGTTCAACAAAACCACAGTTAGATATCCTCCTCATCCAGGACTCAAATTCTTCATTATAGAAACTGATACAAATCAAGGATGGGGGTCAGGAGGTCACAGATAAATTTTGAAGGATTTTTTTCATTGTTATCAGTAATTTACCAAAAATATTAATTTCCATCATTAGGAAGAAATACTAACAGTAGACAACCTGATGGAGATCTGGCAAAAGGATGCCTCCAGGGGTTAGAGAAAGGATAAAAAGTACACAGCAAGGCTGGGTCCTTAAGTGGGTCTTGGGGAGCTGTGAACCCCTAGAAACTCTAACGGATGTTGTATCTGTGGATGTTTGAATTCTGTGTGTCTGTGTGTCTGTGTGTCTGTGTGTCTGTGTGTATATGGGCATATTTCACGGAGCCCAGAAATGCGCACAGATGATCCAGTGGTAGAATTCTCACCTTCCACGTAAGAGCCCTGGGTTTGATTCCCAGCCAACGCACCTCATGTGCAGCCAGCACCCGTCGGTCAGTGGAGGCTTGCGTGTTGCTGTGATGTTGAACAGGTTTCAGCAAAGCTTCCAGACTAAGGCAAACTAGGAAGAAAGGCCTGGCAATCTACTTCTGAAAACCAGCCAATAAAACCCTAGAGAACACAATGGTCCGACGCATAATCGAGCCTACAATGAAACCTGGGGACGGCACCCCGTTGTGCATGGGGTCGCCCTGAGTCAGGGCAGCTAACAACCTCAACAACAGAAAAGCAAAGAACCACCGGTCTCATCCCAGTGTGAGCGCAGGAGAACCCCGGGATGTGTCTTACTGACATCGTCTCAGGCAGCGACAGAGGCAGGGAAGGCTGGCTCCTCGGGAGGATTCTTCATAACAAGGGATCCATCACGGGGCTGCCCTAGTAGGTGAGTCTGAGGGACCAAAGTTTCCTTTTACATATTGTCCAGACCTGCTGGAGAGGCGGGTCTTCAGCATTCCTTACATTTACTCAATACTCCTTATTACTCAAACATGCCTTTAGGGCCTTTATATCTGCGACTCTTAAAGACTAACCTGAGATCAGACTTCAGCGTCAAGCTGTGTAATGAAAGCGTGTCTTCGACAACTGAGGAGTAGCTGCGTTTCTTAGCAGCAGAGTTATGGTGGTGGGGGAGGTTGAATTTTGTGTGCGTGCACAATAAATGTTCCCTGATCCAGCCGATCTTAAACTAAACGAGAATGAGTATTCACTTTCTCTTGTTTTCCCTAAAGAGTTTTTAAGCAACTACTGAGGTGTTCTGTCAGACACACGATACATTACTCGTACATCTGAGTAAGAGCTGGGGACCGTTTGGGACTCATGCTGTGCCCAGGCATGGTGGCCAGCATTCTCCTCCCCTGGGGGGGCCACTGCTGTCCGTAAGTGCCGTTCCACGTCCTCATTCCCTGGGCTTTACCTGCGGCAGCCGACAGCGAGCAAGGAGTAGAGCTGTCACTTCAGTCCCTCTCCCGGTGTGACATCTGCACCACAATCGAGCACTCACCTTAGGGCAGAAGGCGGACGTGGCCCAGAAAATCTCATTCACTATCAGAATGTACTCTTCTGCAGTAGAGAATTAACCTTGCCCAGAAAGAGGTCTGGCCTCTGCCCTCAGCTCCTGGGAGGTGATCTGTAAGCCCCTGGAATGTCCTGCCTGAGAAGGGGCCTAGGGCCACACTGGATAGTCCATGCTAACAGTGTGATTTACGGTGCAGGCTTGGGGCCACAGTGGTATCAGCTCGACCTCTGGAGGCGCTGGAGACTAAAGGTCAGCCACATGGGTGGTCAGCCATATACATGAGACTGAGCCCCAATAAAAACCGGGGATACCGAGGCCCAGGTGAGCTTCCCTGATGGGCAGTAGACCATGTGTATTGTCACACACCACTGCTGCGAGAAGTCAGTGCTGTCCGCGATTCCACTGGCAGAGGACAACTGGAAGCTTCATGCTTGTAACTCTCCTGTGCTCTTCCTGTGTGCCTTTTCCCTTAGCTGATTTTAATCCGTAACCTTCTGTTGTAATAAACTGCACCCACAAGTATAGCAGCTTTCAGTGAACACCCTGAGACCACCTAGGGGTGGTCTCGGGGACTCCTGAACTTGCAACTGGTGCCAGAAAGGACAGTGGGATGGAGAATTCCCAAACTTTGCGATACTTTAATATTTGAAGATGAAAAAAAATATCTGTAATATCAAGTAGAGAAGGTAAAGTTTACCAAAACTGTCTTGGCTGATGGGATGCGTAGGAGCTAGGAAGTGATGTAGTGACTCTCACCTCTGCCTTTCCAGGTGTATCAGAATTCCCAGTGCTGGGGACCCAAGATTTTTATATTTCTCAGAAGTGGACATGGGGTAATAAAGTTTGAGAATTACCATCTTAGAATCCTAGATTCAAGACGGTCACATTGGAAAGTCACCTAAATCAGTATCTAGCAGAGCTTGATGCCCAGGCTGGACGGGTCCCCATACTCGGCCCGAGGATGTTCACCCAGAAGCTCAGATGACCAGGCTGTCTCCCACCAGATTCCCAGGGGCCCCTGTTTACAAACTATGGGATGGGAAGTGGGGCTCACTTGTCTCACAGTTCCGACCCTCAAAATCATCAAGGCAGAAGCAAATGTAAGACTGGAGCTGGTCCACACAGGAGCCCCCGTTTTGGCACGGGTTGGAGGCACACTGGTTTCCATCTGTGGGAAGAGACAGGACTGGTGAGTTTGCTGAGGAGTTGGTGTGGGGTGGGGGGTCAAAATGGGCCATTTGTCTACTCACCGTTATAAGCAACCCAGAACTGCATCTGAGGGAACGAGAGGAAACCATGTCAGACACACATCCACCAGAGGCAAACACTTACTGCAGCCCCTGGATGAACGGAGGAGTCTGGATTCACGGATGTCGGCGCGGGTGTGTTGGGGTGGGAACTTCTGACTTGGGGCGCTTTGTGATGGATTCAGGAAACTCTAGAGTTTCCTGTGGAGATGAGAGGTGGTCTCATCTAGCGGGGTGCTGAGTCACAATCAACTCGACAGCAGTGGGTTTAGTTTGGTGTTTTGGTTGGATGTTGACTCTGCCATCTGCTAGCCGTGAACCTTGGAGGAGACACATAAGCTGCATTGTCTCCTCTGACGAGTGGGAGCGATTGTACACGTAGGTCTGACAGGAGGGGTACATGCAGTAATGGATATAGGAGCATTTCATAAATTGCGAAACTAAACCAAGTCAATTCCAACTCATGGTGACCCCATGTGTTACAGAGTAAAACTGCTCCATAAAGTTTCCAAGGAGCAACTGGTGGATTCAGACTGCTGACCTTTTGGTTAGCAGCCAAGCTCCTAACCACTGTGCCACCAGGGCTCCATAAATGCAAAGGAGTCCCACCAATAAAACTGATTCCTGAGATGCCTTTTGGCCAACTGAACTTACACCTCACAGAGTTTCTGTGAGAACAAAAAGCAATGGGAAGTGCTGAAAACGTTTTGAAAAATTAAGTGGTATACAAATGCAAGATGTGAATATCCTCAACTTGTCTGGAAAGAAAATGTTGACCTCTGTCTTAAATAGACCCTCTTCTGGTGAGTGTGAGGCATGGGGTAATCACGGCTGGTGAGAAAAGGCAGTGACCAGAATCACCAACAAACAGCAGTTACAGAGGACCGTGCACGCTTGCCCTGGAGCTCCTGACCCTGGCGCCTGTCTTCCTAAACAGACAACAGTAGAACCCTCCCTGAACCCCAAGCCCTTGTCTCCCATCCTAACCTGAGCCCACACTACTGGTCAAAATTTTCCAAGGGATGTGATACAATTTAAGTATGCATCTTATAGAAAGTGAAATAAAAAATGAGAGGGCTCTAACCATGCTGTCAAAGCGCAGAAGGAGGAAACAACGTTTCCCCTAACTGTTGCTTCTTCATAACGCTTCCCTAAGGAGGGGCCCCCTGGGGAGGCAAGTCAGAGAGGCTCCGCCGAGGCCAGTTTGTTACCTTCAGCTCCATCAACAGCACCCTCATATTGCACAGGCAGCCCTGGGATCTTCTGGGCTACTTGGGGGACCTTCCGTGGAAAGGTAAGGTACACACCAAGTGTGCTTGTAAACTGTGTTTCCTGGTGCAAAATTAGGGTGCATGGTGTGGCAGAGAGCAGGAGAGAGCGAGCACATCAGAGGGCGGGCGGACCTGAACACAGCAGAAGATGTGGATCTCTGCTTGGGGAGAACCAAGTCATCCTTCGGGAGGAAAAGAAGCCCAGACAGGGCGGGGTAGTGTATGATGGAGCTGTCTGTGTATTCACCCGGGTGAGGGCACTCACAGCCACAGCAATGGAGAGGCGTGGACTCCAGGAGACAGGAGCACCCCTAAACGATCATCTAGTGCAGCCACCGTCTCAGAGAATCACACTGACTCTGCTCAAGTGGAGCAGAAGGCAGCCTCTTTGACGAAGTACTTACGGTCCTCTCAGTGCTCTTGAAGATCTCCCTGGCTTCCTCGAAGGAGCACAGTTCCTCCTTACACTCTCTCTCCAGGGACCCCGATCGCAGTTCTTCAAAGAGTGAGTTGGCTCGCCTTTGCCTGTGTAAGACACTGTTGGCCTCCTCCTGGTTTATGAAGACTGAGAAATGGAAATCCCGTGAAATGCTCAGCCATCTGCCACGCCAAAATGGCACGGAAATCATTCAGTGGGTATTTTCCTATTTAGCAACGGGAATCCAAAAGGCTTCCCGCCTTCCCTGAGTGACGGCCGGCTCCTCCTCCTTGCTTACGTAATTCAGAAGGCGCTGGGCCCTGGTTCCCCAGCAGCCTCCTCTGTCCCTGCAGGCTCGGGGCTGGAGGCTAAGGACACAGCCTACCTGCCTGGCCGAATCCTAAGTTGAGGTATGACTTCTCGTGTATGGCCAGTGAGATGTGACATGGATTGCCAGGCCTTTCTTCCTAGTCTCTCTTAGTCTAGAAGCTCCTCTGAAACCTGTTCAGCATCACAGCAACATGCAAGCCTCCAGTGACAGACAGGTGGTGGCTTTGTCTGGGACTCAAACGTGGTCTCCGACACGGAAGGTGAGAAGTCTACCATTGCACCCTCACTGCCCACACATAAGGTTAAGGGGGACTTTTTTTCCCTCTAAAATGAAAGAGATTTTAGCATGACTGTATTTCTGGGGAACGGATCTGGTTCGGAAGGAGAGGTTGAAGACATGCAGGGGAAAATCAAAGAACGGGAGTGCCAAGGAGCGGGAAGAGATGGATGAAGGGGCCAGATGGGGAGTTTTGTCCTGCAGGAGGAGAGTGGAGGTTGGGGGAGATAGAGACCCACATGCCACCAGTAGCCTATTGGAGACTACCTAGCTGCTCAGTGCCCTAATGCCTAGCTCTTTTCTGAGATTCAGGCTGATCAAAACATGCCTGCCTTGTAGGCATTTCCTCATGATCTGCTGGGTGATGGCATTTATTCATCATTTCATTCATTCACTCACCCTCTTATTTAGTCATTTGACAATCTTTTACTGGGCACATACTTGTCCTAGGCACTAAGATTGCATGAAAAGATAAAAGCAAGTACCACATGCTGTCCTTGAGGAATTGATTTTAAATTAGACTGAAGTGCTTCTGGCTAATTTTTTTTTTTTCAGAAGTAGATCGCCAGGTCCTTCTTCCTAGTCTGTCTTATTCTGGAAGCTCAGCTGAAACCTGCCCACCATGGGTGACCCTGCTGGTAAATTTGAATACCGGTGGCAGAGCTTCCAGCAACACGCAGGCCCCCACAGTACAACAAACTGACAGATGTGTGGGGGGAACTGCCAGAAATTCAAGCCCGATTCAGAAGAGGACGTGGAATAAGGGATGTCACTGCTGGTGTCAGACGGATCCTGGCTGAAAGCAGAGAATACCAGAAAGATGTTTACCTGTGTTTTACTGACTATGCAAAGGCATTCGACTGTGTGGAGCATAACAAATTACAGATAACATTGAAAAGAATGGGAATTCCAGAATACTTAACTGTGCTCATAAGAAACCTGTACTTAGACCAAGAGTCAGTTGTTTGAACAGAACAAGGGAATACTTCGTGATTTAAAGTCGGGAAAGGTGTGTGGCGGGGTTGTATCCTTTCACTATATTTATTCAATCTGTATGCTGAGCAAATAATCTGAGAAACTGGACTATATGAAGAAGAATGTGGCATCGGGATTGGAGGAAGACTCATAAACAGCCTGTGATATGCAGATGACACAAGCTTACTTGCTGAAAGTGAAGAAGACTTGAAGCACTTACTGATGAAGATCAAAGACCACAGCCTTTAGTAAGGATTACACCTCAACATAAAGAAAACAAAAATCCTCACAACTGGACCAATCAGCAACATCATGATAAAGGGAGAAAATATTGATGTTGTCAAGGATTTCATTTTACTTGGATCCACAATCAACATCCATGGAAGTAGCAGTCAAGAAATCAAATGACTTGGGGCCTGGGGACCATAGTTTCGGGGGACATCTAGGACAATCGGCATAACATAGTTTATTAAGAAGATGTTCTACATCCCACTTTGGTGAGTGACATCTGGGGTCTTAAAAGCTTGGGAGCAGCCATCTAAGATACATCAATTGGTCCCATCCCACTTGGAGCAATGGAGAATGAAAAAAAAAAAAAAAAGACATAAGGAAAATACTAGCCCAAAGGACTAAAGGACCAAATGAACCAGAGACTCTACCAACCTGAGACCAGAAGACCTAGATGGTGCCCGGCTACCACCAATGACTGCCCTGCCAGGGAACACAACAGAGAGTCCCGGACACAGCAGAAGAAAAATGTAGAGCAGAACTTAAATTCATGTAAAAAGACCAGACTGAATGGTCTGAGAATGACTGGAGGAACCCCTGAAACTATGGTCTCCAGACGCACTGTTAACTCAGAGCTGAAATCAGCCCGAAGCCCACTCTTCAGATCAGACGGGACTATAAAACAAAAAATCATAGATGTGAGGAATGTGCTTCTTAGTTCAGATATACGAGACCAAATGGGCAGCTCCTGTCCAAAAGCAGGATGAGAAGGCAGGAAGGGACAGGAACTGGTTGAATGGACACAGGGAACCCAGGATAGAAAGGGGAGTGTGAGGTGACATTGTGGGGATTGCAACTAATGTCACGAAACAATATGTGTATAAATTTTTGAATGAGAAATTAACCTGAGCTGTAAACTTTCACCTAAAGCACACACACACACACAAAAAGAAATCAAATGTCGCATTGCGTTTGGCAAATCTGCTGCAAAAGATCTCTTTAAAGTGTTAAAAAGCAAAGATGTCACGTTAAGGACTAAGGTGCTCCTGACCCAAGCCATGGTGTTTTCAATCGCCTCATATGCATGTGACAGCTAGACAATGAATAAGGAAGACTGAAGAATTGATGCCTTTGAATTACAGTATTGGTGAAGAATACTGAATATACCATATACTGCCAGAAGAACGAACAAATCTGTCTTGGAAGAAGTACAGCTGGAATACTTCTTGGAAGCGAGGATGGTGAGACTTCGTCTCACATACTTTGGACATGTTATCAGGAGGGACCAGTCCCTGGAGAAAGACATCATGCTTGGTAAATTAGAGGGTCAGTGAAAAAGAGGAGGACGCTCAATGAGATGGATTGACACAGTGGCTGCAACAATGGGCTCAAGCATAACAACAATTGTGAGGATGGCGCAGGACTGGGCAGTGTTTCATTCTGTTGTACACAGGATGGCTATGAGCCAGAACCGACTCGACGGCACCTAACAATAACAAAGTGCATCTGACTCATAATAGCTGGTAAAGGTATTCCTGGAGCCCTAGTGGTGCAGTGGTTAGGCGCTCGGCTGGTAACCAAAAGGTCAGCGGTTCAAATCCACCAGCTGCTCCTTGGAAACCCTCTGGGGCAGTTCTACTCTGTCCTACAGAGTTGCTATGAGTTGGAATCGACTTGATGGCAATGAGTTCGGGTTAAGGAATCCCGGGATGAAGGTAACTTCGCATCAAAAAAGCTTTCAGAGAATCAGAGACAAATCTGAACATAAAAAAGTAATACATGATTATTGTGGAGAATTTGGAAAAGACAGAATAGAATAAAGAAGGAAATGAAAAATCACCCACTATCCTGTTAATAGTTTCTTGGTTGCCGTGAGTGGGAATCGACTGAGTGGCAGCTCGGACCTGTGGTGAAGGACACCGTGTAGCTTTAGCTCCCTCACGAGCAGGGCATGCTGTCCGTGGGCACGTGGGGGTAACTGCAGGGTAGGGGCAAGCGGACGCAGTTCACTCAGATCCCATCTTAATGGCCTCAGGGCACCAAGGACAACATGAACCAGAGTTTGAGGGAAAGAGTTTGCAGCTTGTTTCTACTTAAGTGACCACAGCAGGCGACTTAGGTCCTTGAAAATCATTACAGGAACGACAACAGCTTATGTCTGCATGGGCTTTCCAGCTTATAAAGCACAGTCTCATACTGCCTCTCATTCAGGCTGACACTTTGTCAGGAGGCAGGGAAGGTACCATTTTCCAAATGGAGGAACCAAGGCCTAAAGATGTGACTGGCGAGGTCCCCTAGCCGTGTGACCGAGCATGAACGGAAACCCAGTGTCCCCACGCAGCTGTCCCTGACACCGTCCTACCGAGAACCTGGGGAGTTGAGCCCGGAGCTGCCTTCGCCACACTGACAGCTCAGTGAAAGTGCAGAGCGTGGCCACCATGTCTCACTCTCCAAACTGTCCCCAAATTCTGTGCCTTCGATCCAACGTCATGGTGGCAAATTCCCACAGGTTGGCTAGGAAAGCACCACCAGCTCTGAAAAGTTCTTTGAAAATAATTCTGCCCAAACCTGTGCCATCAAGAACAATTTTCCCTCCAGTGATCCGGAAAGGAAAACTCAGATCAAACCAGAGCTGCCAGCAATGCTCCTGGTGAAGAGGAGCGTCAAACATAAAGATGAGGTTTTAGAAGGGTCTTAAGACCCACTTTCCAGATTTGCTGCAAACAGCTCAACCGTTCTGAAAGTTTGTATATGGGGTGGGGGCACCGAAACATACCTGCGGTCAGAGGACGCTGAAAGCTGAGCAGAAAGCAGAGAAAGGCGAGCCTGTGGGAGTGGGAAACCATGGCGGACTCTCGGTGGTGTTATTCCCTATCTGTTGACAGTCCAGATGGACACGGTCTGGCCAAAGTTCTCGGCCCGAGACACTGAGCGAGGAAGGATGGGGGAGGGGAAAGGGACAGGATGAGGAAATCGCCCGGCAAACAGAATTGAAAGCTACATTCGGTCATTGATTCTTAGTTTGTCTTCGTTAGCTAGCGATGAGTGGGTGGCTCCAGAGAACAGAGGTGTTGTTTTACGGTCCTGGAGTCTAGGTGTCTGAATTCAGGGGGCAAGGTTCTTTCTGGCCGCTCTAGTTCTAGGGGAAAACCTTGTCTCGGCTTCTGTAGCCCCAGGCTAACTTCCTCAGCTGCTGGTGGATGTATGTTTCGTTGGTGTCTGTCTTCCCCTGTGTGTGTCTGGGTCCATTCTTTCTCATTAACATAATGAGGGAAAACTCCTATTTCCAAATGGTCACTTCACAGGCCCAGGAGTTAGGACATCAACATACCCTTTGGGGGACACAATGCAGTCCATAACAAATAAACCACAACCCATTGCCGTTGAGTCGATTCTGACTCATAGGGACCCTATAGGACAGAGTAGAACTGCCCGATAGGGTTTCCAAGGAGTGGCTAGTGGATTTAAACTGCCGACCTTTCGGTTAGCAGCCAAATGCTTAACTACAACACCAGGGCCCCACATAACAAATAGCTGTTGATAAAATCCCTGATGTCAAGCAACTGTGCTAGAACGGGAGATAAAAAATGAAAACAACAAAGCCCTTGCACCAAGGAACATCGTCTTAGGATACTAGAGAGATTCATTCCGACTTTTTTTGGTTTTTTTTTCAAAGCAAAACTGTTTCTTGTTCTGAAATTTATATATTTAGATGTGTATCTGAAATACACACTTCAAATGCAATTGAGAATTTTGAAGCCCTTAGGACATAAGGCTGCAAGTTGGGAAAACGATTTAAGCTACAGACGAAAGATAGTACACCACAGCAGTAATAACAGTAAGAGTGTATTTCAGGTGTGAAGGTAAACTTTGAAGAAGGCTGCAGAGGGGACTGTCCGTAGGCCCGTCCACACCTTTGAAAGGAGTTGCAGAGGAAGCTGGCTTTCTTAGGCAAGATTTAGATGAGCCCAAAAAGCCATGCCCAGGAGCACCAGGAAGAGGAAAACTGCCCCCTAAAGCAGAGGCCCAACCCATCCCATTTCGATTGCAGATGGTACCCGCTAGTGCCTCAGTTGGTCCAGGGGCTCATTTCACTGCTCTCCTGTACCTTGGCCGGAAGCTAGGGTAATCAACTGTCCTAGTTTGCCCATAACCTAGGAGTTTCTCACGACGGGGAACTTTCAGTGCTAAAATCGGGATTGTCCTGGGAAACTGGGATGGTCTGTCACTCTAGTGTGTCTCACTAGGAGTCAAGGTTCCTGGGTGGGCCCAGAGTGAGCCATGCTCCGTGGGCCTGGGCTGACCCTTCTGGAGATAAATAACCTTTCCGTGAATTGGTGGAGACTGGCGACACGGACTCTGCTCATTTAGAGGCAAAGGCCCAGTCCCTGCTCTTCTGGTTGGAAGCTACTCACTCCAACAGTTTCTGACTGGGTCCTAGCTCTACCACCCCAAAGAGAAGAGTCAGCTCTTTGAGATACCATGTTTTACGGATCACCTCTGGAATTACTAATTGTTACTATGAATAATTGCCTAGTTTAAGAACTTAATTATATAGGAAGGAAGGCATGGAGAGAGAGAGGGTGGATTTCCCTGCTTGACTCTTCCTCATACCCACAGCCCTTTTAAGCGACATTTCTCAGCCTTTGCCATCCTCTGATACACCTCGGTCATTGTAGGTGGAGCTTAAACTCTGGAACATGATAGGCCTGGGTTGGAGTCCTGGCTCAGCTTTCTCCCAGTTTGTGGAGGAAGTTATTCATTCCTTTGAGCCTAGTTCATAATCTGTAAGATAGGTCTAATGCCACCTTCCTTCTAACACCAAAAAAACCCAAACCCGTTGCCATCGAGTCATAGCAACCCTATAGGACAGAGTAGAACTGACCCATAGGGTTTCCAAGGAGCGGCTGGTGAATTCAGACTGCCGACCTTTCAGTTAGCAGCTGAATGCTTAACCACTGCACCACCAGGGCTCCACCTTTCTTCTTCAGGGGTATTATTATGTCTGGCACATGGTAAGTGCTCAGTAATTGCCCTCTGTCATCACGTCTCTTGTTCCCATTGGCCTGCTGCATGCTGGCTTAGTGCCTGAAGGGAGAGTTTCCTGCCACCTTCCAGAAGCAGCCTGACTCCTGTCTTCTCAACCGGAGCACGGCCCGGTCACCAGACTCCTTGGTTTCTCTTGGAGGTGAGATTGAGCAGCGTGTGGTTCAACCTGACTGCAGGCTCCAGTAGGGTAATAAGGCTTGCTTCTGTGGGAAAAGGAATGCTCCTTCTTGTAGTTGTCAAAATGTCATCATTAAATTAGGGTTTCGATGGACACGCAATCTGCCGGGCAACATGGCAGCCGGTGAATTCATGGCAACGTATGTTGGACAGAGCCCCCAAGTCCAAGGGCTGTCTGTGTCCTCCAGACCCGTGGCTGACTGTGGCTTTGCAGAGCTGTTACTTCGGCTGAAGTTTGCTGCCCGACACTTCACCCAGTTCTCGCAGGTGACCTTTTGTAGTGAAAGGATGACCAATAGTAGGTATAGAAACCCTCCCCAGAAAACCCATTGAAATCCTACCCTAGAATTCCTTGGCAAGGAGGAGGAGAGGGGAAGGGTGAAAGGGGGCAGGTTGGGGTGAGAGGAAAGGCGAATGGAGGAAGGTATGTCTTTATAAAAGCCCTCCCACCCCAGATGAGAGCGGAGGGACCCGGACAGAAGTGTGGTGGTGGCTGTGGAAGGCCTCTGGTCCCTAGCCTTTGGCACTCTTTCCTTTCTACCGAAATTAAAGTCTAGCAGCCTTCAGAGGAGGCGGCTGGGGTCACAGAGGAGTCTCAGTTAGGACTGTGTGTGGCTGTGATGCTGAACAGGTTTCAGCGGGGCTTCTAGACTAAGATGGACTAGGAAGAAAGGTCTGGAGATCTACTTCTAAAAATCAGTCAGTGAAAACCCTGTGGATCACAGCGGTCCATCCACAACTGGTCACGTTCCATCGTGCATGGATTGCCATAAGCTGGGGACCCACTTGACAGCAGCTAACAGCAACAACAACTGCTGTAACAAATAGCACCAACATTTCAGTGACTCAACATTTGGAGGGTTTCTTTCTTTCTCAGGTCACAGCCCAATGACGGTTCACAGTAGGGGAGGGTGGAGGCCCACGCAGTGGCTCTGCCTGTCTCCAGGACCTTGCACTGGAGCCCTGAATCTGGCAGACAGAGGAGGGGCAAGAGAGATTGTGGATATTTTGTTCAAGTTTTTCAGGGGCTAGAAGACTAAGGCGCGCCTGACCCAAGCCATGGTGTTTCAATCCCCTCATATGCATGTGGAAGCTGGACAATGAATAAGGAAGACGGAAGAAGAATTGACTCCTTTGAATTATGGTGTTGGCGAAGAATAGTGAATATACCATGGACTGCCAGAAAAACAAACAAATCTGTCTTGGAAGAAGTACAACCAGAATGCTCCTTAGAAGCAAGGATGGCAAGCCTGAGTCTCACATCCTTTGGACATGTTATCAGGAGGGACCAGTCCCTGGAGAAGGACATCATGCTTGGTAAAACAGAGGGTCGGTGAAAAAGAGGAAGACCCTCAACGGGATGGCTGCAACAATGGACTCAAGCAGAACAATGATGTGAGGATGGTGCAGGACTGGGCATTGTTTTGTTCTGTTGTGCATAGGGTTGCTATGAGTCAGAACCGACTCAACGGCACCTAACAACAACAACAAGGCTTGAAAGCAGTGTGCTTCCCTTCTGCCCACATTCCATTGTCCAGAACTCAGTCCTGTGGGACCACCTAGCTGCAAAGGAGGCTGGGTAATGTGCACCTAGGAGCCCAGGAGGAAAAGGAACCACGGGTTGGTGATCATGTCTTGCTGCCTTACACACGGTGGCTCCACAGGACCCTGCCTTTTCATAATGAAGGTGATTGTCAGGCTGCTGGGTTTTGTGAAGACCTTGGAAATCAGATTAAATGATGGATTTGGAGGTTTCTAGAAGAATCATCCTTGGGTTCTCCCTTTCTGCCTCCCCACCTAAATTGATCAGTAAGTACTGTTAGCTCTTCCTCCAGAATATACCGGTGTCCTGCCATCTCTCAGCTCCTCCACCACCTCACCTGGTGGACCGTGAGACGCCCAGCTTGCTCCCATTGTGGCCCATCTACAAACTCTTACCTGCATGGCAACACGAGTAATTTTAACCATCCACTTTTTACATTTTAGTTTTTTAAAATTACACGGTATAAAATTCAGTCTTTGTGGCGTACAGTCTGGGAGTTTTGACAAATGCACACTTATGTAATTACCACAGTCAAGACACAAAACATGTCCATTGAAATTTCCCTGGGCTGCCCTTTCGCAGTCAACACCTCTCCTTCACCCCAAGTCCCAGGCCACCAATGACCTGTTTTCTGTCCCTAGAGTTTTACCTTTTCCAGAATATAAAATAACTGGAATCAGTTATGTAACCTTTTGGGTTGGGTTTCTTTCACTCAGCGTAAAGCATTTGAGATTCATCTACGTTGTTGTGTGTATCTAAACGGTATTTTAGAAACGTAAATCTGATTATGAAATTTCCCTGCTTGAGCCCCGCCAATGGCTTCACGTTCCACTAAAATTATCAGGCCCACAGCTCCAGCCTCGTCTCTCACCACTCATTTCCCCCTTAACTATCCTCCAGCCACACTGGGCTCCTTCCTGCCTCAGGGCCTTTGCACTTACTGATGATGTCTGTGGGAGTCAGGCCCTGCCTGGAGTAGTCTATCCCCAGCTCCTCCCATAGTGACTCCTTCCTGTCACCCAAGTTTCAGCTCAAGCACCATCTTTTCAAAGCAGCCTCCCCTGATCACCCATCCGACTGCACCCTCCACCCACGTCACTCTCTGTGTTGGCTTCATAGCATTGAT